TACAGCCACTCAGTGTGTGTTTGCGTGTGTGTTGCATTGGCAGGTCTGTCCCCTGCAGTAGAGAACAGGTGGAGGAGATGATATGGAAGTGTGGGAGAAAGAAAGGAGACATGGTTTTGCGTAGAAGCGCTGCACAGCCTGCATCCTATTTTCAAAGAAGATGCATTTTCTGTCGACTTTGGATTGGGTTTACAACAACTTCCTGTGATAAATATCAGGAGCAGAGCATGTTGTTGTAGCTGTACACCTTCTGGTAAACATGTAGAAAAAAAGCCCATCATTTGGAAGTGTCTCAACATGTTTTTTTAAATGTTGAGAATTGGATATGATGCTCAACCTTTAAAGAGAGGGAGTAAGTGAGCAATCTCGAGGAAGGAGGAGGATGCAGCGCACAAAGCACCAGAGCAGCAGGTTGCTATAACAACAGCACCTTAGTGGTTCCATCTCTCTCCCTCCCTCTCTGATCACCCTCTCATCGTGTGCTCCCCGCTGTCATTTGGCGCGCTATGCCTTTCCATCAAGCCACCTATCTCCCCCTCCTCCCTCCCTCTCTACCTCTTCTCTGCCTCAGCCTCTCTCCTCCTCTTCATCTTCATGTTCTGGTTGCTCCTCCACTCAAAGGAAAAAGACCATCTGCCTGAGAAATGAGTCCTCCTCCTCCTCATGCGCGTGTGTGTCTCTCTTACCTTTGTCCCTCTGTATCTTTGTCATTCTCTCCCTGTCTGCGGGGGGAGCCGACAGAGAGAGTCAGCAGGTGTTTGTGTCAAAGAATACAGAGGGAGACGCAGGAGGAGAAAACAAGCGCCACTCTCTTCTCTGCTCTTTTAACATCCTCGCCTCCTTTTCTCTCCTGATGCTCTTTTCAACGCGCTCCCGCTAAGCACTTGATGAAACTACTTGAAAATTCTTTGTCTCTGACTTTCCGTATCTTCGTTCTCATGTCACACATGCAAACACTCGTTTCCTCTCCATTCTATTGCATTGATTATCAAACAAATAGACACATTGTCAGAGCATGGCAGGTATTATTGCTGGAATTTAAAGCCGTAATTAGGGTTGCTAATTGTGCTTAAAGAAACACATGATTAATGTAGCGCAGTTATATATAGAGTGTTTGACAGATTTATTGTTCTTGCTTGTTCCCTCAGGCTAGAACATGATGACTTATAGTAGGGCTGGGCAACGTTAAAAAAAGTCATATATCAAATTCCTTTTTTATTACCTGTTGAGACGACATTGTATGGTTGGTGCTTCCACAAAATGTTTATGCAATGAAAACTTCCAAAATGTATCAGCCGGCCAGCTAACCAATCAGAGCTGACTTTTTGAACATTAACGCATGTAAACATGTCACAGTAGAGGCACAAATATGAACTGGCAAATTAGCATTTGATGTCCTTGTTAAGATGGGAAAAAATACAGAAAATTGAAAAAGAAGTTAGTAAAATAATGATAATGGCAGAAATTAGAACTGCTAGAACAATCTGTTTAATTTAGAAAAATGTAATCATTTTACTATAATGCAGCCCTTCACACTAGTAAAAGATAATATCACGATATCCAAAATATAAGACAATATATAGTCTTATAACATGATAATGATATATTATCAATAATATGCCCAGCTGTTAGTCGTACAGAGAAATAGTATCTCTCTCTTTCTGTCTGTCATTTCTTTGTGTCTGTCTCTATAGTCAGGATTTAATCAAAAAGGTTAAACTGGTAATACTTTTATCTAAATGTGTGTGTGTGTGTGTGTGTGTGTGTGTGTGTGTGTGTGTGTGTGTGTGTGTGTGTGTGTGTGTGTGGTGTGTGTGTGTGTGTGTGTGTGTGTTGTGTGTGTGTGTGTGTGTGTGTGTGTGTGTGTGTGTGTGTGTGTGTGTGTGTGTGTGTGTGTGTGTGTGTGTGTGTGTGTGTGTGTGTGTGTGTGTGTGTGTGTGTGTGTGTGTGTGTGTGTGTGTGTGTGTGTGTGTGTGTGTGTGTGTGTGGTGTAGTTCACACCACCTGCATAATTATGGGAGTTTTTATAGGTGGGCTTTGAAAGGCGAGTCTGTTATTAACATGAGTCACTGGCATTTAGGGAAAGCCTGTAACACACACATACATGCATGCACAGACACTGTTACACACACCAAACCAAAGGCGCATACAGGAGACCTGAATAATTTAAACCCATTGATTGCAGGACCACACACACAAACACACAGTTGAAGGAGCCGTGTCGTGACAGCGGAGATGTGTGTTTTCCTCAGTTGTTCCTCCTAATGGCCACACACACACACACACACACACACACACACACACACACACACACACACACACAGTGTAGTTTGGGCTGTCAATACTAATGATGTTTATCATGCCATAAATATAATTAGGCTGACTGTCAGTCATAGTGGTGAACAGAGGGGAAACCTGACAGCCCCACCCCACACATACACACACCAGTTAACCAAGAAAGTACAAAACAATGATCTTTTTGTGGTGTGTGTGTGTGTGTGTGTGTGTGTGTGTGTGTGTGTGTGTGTGTGTGTGTGTGTGTGTGTGTGTGTGTGTGTGTGTGTGTGTGTGTGTGTGTGTGTGTGTGTGTGTGTGTGTGTGTGTGTGTGTGTGTGTGTGTGTGTGTGTGTGTGTGTGTGTGTGTGTGTGTGTGTGTGTGTGTGTGTGTGTGTGTGTGTGTGTGTGTGTGTGTGTGTGTGTGTGTGTGTGTGTGTGTGTGTGTGTGTGTGTGTGTGTGTGTGTGTGTGTGTGTGTGTGTGTGTGTGTGTGTGTCCACCTCAGGGTCAGAATACAATCTGAATATATTCTGTCTGTTGTTCCATCTGAATAACAAAGAGCTAAGCGTACATTTGCACACATACATGTACCAGTGGTGCTCCCTGTGTGTGTGTTTGACACTTTCACATGCGACAACAGACATTTTATAAAACATTTTCCTGCTCCTGAGCTTTACAGAAGTCTGTTTGAAATGTAGATCTGCAGGATATACACACAGTGTGTAACTGCTCTAATCAATGTTTGCAATTGTGCAAATGTGTGTGCGTAAATTGACTGAGGAATGACATCAAATCACATTTTTATTATGCAACGCATTTTATCTCCTTTTGTTAACATTGTACATTTCATTACATGCATGTAAAAAAGCAATATTGAACTAATTTATTTAAATGTACTTCCTTTAGAAAGACATTAGCATCAAACAATTTGTACTATATAGACACAATTAGCAATTCAATTAAGTAAGTATCTAATGTCAGCCCTTAAGAATATTATATCGGGGTTATATGTAAAACAATAGATGAAATAATAAAATGTCCATTCTTTGTACAATGGAGTGAAGATGTGCCTGCCGTTACCACATAGCTCATGTTTTTGAAAGAAGACTTGGATTTGGGTCGGAGCACAAAATGCGCACCCTGGGAGCTTTTCATAAATGAGGTCCCTGCTTCCCATTCGTCATTTTAACAGCATCTACGTTCTCTGCCAACTTCATTAAGGTTTGAAATTAACAGGAGTAAAGAGTAACATTGAGATTGAGAGTTTATTAAATTGCATAGAAATGTACATTTGATGCACTTTCCCTACCATTTTATCACAGTTTAGCTTTTGTAGATTCCCATTGTCTACTCCAGCCTCCAGCGCCGCCATCTACTTTCTATACCATAAGTCTGAATACTAAAGTGTGCCTACTTTTGATACATACATTTCTCTGATCAGATATTTTACGCGATCTCACTCAATTGCTGTGCCAAGTCCTCTTAGACCCCGCTATAGTGTTTTGTCCTGACTAGCTCATATTTGACCTGATAAGTTGGCACACTGGGTATCAAATAACTAAATACTGTGTTTAGGCACTATTTGGTTTTCAATAGATGTGGTCTTTCTACATATTTTTTTCCCACAATAAATAATTAAGAATTTATGATCCGTTGCAACAAAAAGTTACGTTTTCGCCAAGCTTGAAAGTGCAGCTCTTGCCGTTGAAAACTCCATTGGAAAAGTTGTTGGGGGATAGAACTCCTCCAGACCTTCCTAACACCCCAGATGTATTGTTACACATTGTTCTGCCAATTTGGAGTCCCTTTGCCATGCTTCATATTTTCAGCTGGGCTTTGAACCGCAAGCCCTGTATCATCAATCGAACACAATAGATAGCGAATGGTAAAGCTAGCCCACTTATATATTGGTTTTCTAGACCCTGTTTCATATCGGCACTCCAATGTAAGACTGCTGGTTTATCAAATTGGTAATTTTTTTAATGGTAAACACCTGTTGATAAAAGGAGATCATTTACCTTTCTTGCGTTGGCACTTTCTCTACTTTCTGCCCCTACTCATTTGCTTTGTCTTGAGTTTCTGTCTGCTGTCCCTCTACACCGCCTCTCCTCTTTAACCCCGGTCTATGACAGTGATTACCTTAACTGCCAGCCAGCGTTCGTTAGCACCCTGTCGTTATCTCGTCTGTGCCTTGACAGAGGCAGTGAGACTGTTAAGTGTAGCGGACTGTACGCTAGCTGCCTACAGTGAGGCTAAGACTGGGGTGTGTGTTTAGACTGGGCTGCCCGTTGGCTGATGCTAATGATGGGGAGCGTACTACAGACTGAACATTCTTTGATCTTTCCTCCCTTCTTTGAAAACCTCGAGTCCAGCCTGCTCCGAGGAGGTTGCTCATTGCATTGCCCCTAGTTTTACTTTGTGCCGATACAATGTATGCATGCATATGCTCTGTGTGAGAACTGGTCTGATCATCATTTCAATTTGAACAGAATGTACAATTTGTCTTGGTGATATTTTGATATTCAGCACAACCCTTGTATTCTATAGACTCTTGTCGATGTGTGTAGAGAGATAAGCCTTCTTTTGCCTTATTGATTTGATATCTCATGTTGCATCCCTTGTTAGCACCCTGAAGACCACAGAAAAGTTTTTTATATTGCCAACCGGTCCCACCTTTTGCTCTTCCCCACCCCTAATCCATTCTCTTTTTCTTCTTTGGTACAGCTCCAGGAGACTGTAAAGAGGAAACTGGACAGCGCACGATCTCCGCTCAATGGAGAACAGAACGGTATCTGTGATGGAGGCAGCTACTCGCCGACTACCAAACGGGTACGGAAGGAGGGCCCCGGCGGTTTGGACTCACTAACGGGTCTCTCCAACAACAACAACAGCAATGTACCACCCATCTCTCCACTGCATCACCAAATGGACATTAAGCCCTTACTTGGCGGGCCAAACACTTCCACCGGAAACAACACTACAAACAGCAATGGCAACCACATAGGCCAGGGGTCCGATGATCTTGGAAAGAACGGTGGAAGCCATCTCTCGGACATGAAGCTGAATGGCTCGTTGGACCTTGAGGACAGCTTCGGGCTCCTCAAAGACTTAAAACAGGAGCCCCTGGATGACGGGGGTGGGATGGAGTCCTCTGATCCCCAGTCTCTTTCCAATCAGAACAAACTGTTCTCCGACATCAACCTCAATGACCAAGAGTGGCAGGAGCTGATCGACGAGCTGGCCAACACTGTCCCGGAGGACGATATGCACGACCTCTTCAATGAGGACTTTGAGGACAAGAAGGAGGCGGAGTTCGGCAGGCCGGCAAACAATCATACACCGGGCCCACAAGAAGCAGCTGGGAACACGACGGCACCGCCAGCAGCAGCCCTGCCTCCACCTCCTCAGCCTGGAGGAGGGCCCCAGGTGCCCATGGGCTCTCCACAGGTCAGTGCTCAAAGGGTCAGCAAATAGGCCAAGTACTTGAAGGATAAACATACAATAGGAGAATCTGTCAAATTATTACTCATCTTTGTTTTGCTTTTAATGCTTGAAGAACACTTCTTGCATGTCTCCAAGGTGAACGTAGTAAAATCTGAGTAATTCTTTATGAATTGAATTAATTGGGGGCCTTGTTTAACAACAATAAAACTGTATCCCCCATTAATTGATATATAAATTATTTATTTATTTTATATATAAAAAAATATTTGTAACCCCTTTAACCCTTATCTATGCCCAAAGTTGTTAGAAGCTTAGGTGAATCAGTCTCAAAGTGATATTTTTCTTATGTTCTCGCGCATTTTACTCACTTTGAATGTCTATTCACAAGAATAGAGTTTGAGTACAATTCTACAGGTTTAGGTGGTTAAGATTCTTGATTCCAATTCATAGTAATATGAACAGTTGTGTCTTTATTTTACATCTAAAATATTTGATACATGAATAGAAATTGTGAGATGTGCAGAACACAAAACAAAAACGTATGAAATGCTTACATAGTGTGTTGGGGTTATGATAAAAGAATGTTTAATAATCAAGCTGTGAGGTATGTTGGTCCAAGACAGATGGCTTCCAGCAATACTCAAATAAATCTCAAGTTACGAACAGATTTTCCTCGACATTGTAATGTGCAGGTGTAAAGGTATTTTTGCTGTTAATGGATAGTCATATTAATACTTATTAAACAAATATAAATAATTCCTAAAACAAACTATATGGAGATAGTTTTATTTAAAAATGTTTAAATAGTTTTTACTTAATAAAGTACAGAACTGAAGCAAGGAGGCGTTTCTCTTAAAGATTGACTCCAGGGACGTTCAGTTAGCCTGGCTCTTCCCAAAGTAAAAAAAAAGAGCCTTCCCACATATTTAAAGCTGTTTGATTAGCAAATCTCATTTGTTTAGTACAATTTATGTAGTTATTTGTTTTGTCTCATTTGTACAAAAACAGAAATATAAAAACAGAACGATAAGATGCTTGCATCTCATGGCTATTTCTTGATGAACAAACCAATATCGGGCCGATACTGACTCAAATAGCTGGATCAGTTTTCCTTCACTATGGGGCTTTAGTATACACTATTCAAAGGTACCAAACCTTGTGACAACAACATTCTGACAAGTAACTCCCGCTAAAACAACACAACATTATTTTTACTTTGCTTTGTGTGTAAAGACTGAACAAACAAGAGACAATGCGTAAATTAGAAAGCCTTAGTGGTGTTGGTTTTAGCCTAGAAAGAACTAGGCGACTTGTTATGTCTTTTTAACCAAGTTAATTTTCTTCCAGATTTGTGTTGAACCATTCATTTAAGAGTTCATGAGTCTCATAGTGTTATTTTTTGTTTTTGGACCATTCAGGTCCGACCATCGTCGTCAGGCCCTCAGTTTGCCACCACTGCCAACGGAACACCTCCTCAGCAACCTTTGCAGCAGTCTCCAGCCGTTGCCATGGCATCAGGTTCCCCATTGCACAACTGCGTGGCTCGCTCCCCTCAGACCCCAACCCAGGCTCAGACACAAGCAGTCTCTAGGCCAGCCAATGGATACATGATGAACCCAGGCCCGGGGGTCAGTCAAGCGGGCACGGGACCTGGAGCGACGGGAGTTGCACCTGGAGGTCAGCCTGTTGGGCCAGTGACACCAGAACTTTCTCCAGCAGAGCAGCTAAAAGCAATGGCTCAGCAGCGTGCTAAACTTCTGCAGCAGAAGCAGCAACAAGCAGCTAACTGGTCCCCTGCAGGAGCTCCAACCAGTCCTTATAACTCTGGTCCCTTTAACCAAGACAAACCCAACAGCCCCATGATGTACCCACCGCAAGCCTTTAACGCTCCACAGGGCCCTCTAGTGGCTGGGATGACCCCAAACAATGGGCCCAAAGCCCCCATGAACAACTACCTCCCTCACAACCACATGGGCATGATGGGCCAGCAACAGCCAAACAGCATCAACCAGAACGCCATGACCAAACAGCAGCAGCACACGGCAGCCATGTTGTCGTACAACAACACCAAACCGCTGAGTCACTTCAGCGGCAGTGGAGTCGATCACATGGGCCAGAGGATGACTCCCCCCATGGGAGGGAACAATCAGGTCAAGAACCCCATGATGCCTCCCTACATGGGCGGTGGGGGAGGCGGCGGCCAGGGCGCGGGGCCGGGGCAGACCCAGGGGCCAATCCCGGGACAGACGGCCCACCTGAGTGAGGAGCAGAAGAGGATGCTGCTGATGAAGCAGAAGGTGTTGAACCAGAACATGCCCTACAGCGCCATGCAGCCTCATGGACAGGTAAGGCACCTGTTGCTTCTTCACTTCGGTCAAGGAGGTTATGATTGCGGTTTGGTTTAACTGTTTGTCTGCAAGATTACGGTATGACTACTGGCACAGTCTTCAAGAAACTCGGTAAGCAAGCACCAAGGATAGTGCTTTCTTAGTGGCCTTCTAGTAAATCAATGGGGCGAAACAAAGTTGTTTGCATTGTATTGGTTCAGTTCAAGAGAAGTCAATACTGTTGCTTCTGCGTAGAACCAGGAGAAAGGTTTCCTTCAGCTGTCTGTAGCTCAAGCTCCGATTCCTGAGTCATTCTTCAGATGAAAACAGAAAGCTGGAGTTGAATGCCATGTTAAAGGATGCTGGTGTTAAAGAACTCTCAACCTAAGACCTTGGGAGGAGAACGAAACACTTGAAAGGTTTTTCTTGTCAATCTTTGATGTGCTACAGGAAACATTGACTGTCCACTGGAGACTATCTATAAAATGTATAGGTGAAATGGATGCAACACACAGATTGAATTCGAACAGTTGACCAGGGCATATTATGGAAAAATGGTTGCTGTTTTACAAAACCTTCCTAACGTGTAGCCAGAGAAGGTAAAATGGCGGTAGTTTCCCCAGCAACAAGCCAGGGCTGGGAATAGGCATAGGAAAATGGCCTGTCGACAGTGTATTGATGCCTCTGCAACACTAGCAGCACTGATAGCCTCTCCCCCCACACCCACTCCTCCCAGACACATAAGCGCATGCACTCACACACCACGGCAAACACCAAAGCTAAACGGCTCCTTAGCTCATATCCCCAATCTGTCACAGCTGACTGATGGCTGAGATTGGAGCGCTAAGCCAAGCTAGCTGCTGTCATTACCAAAAGCCCGCCTCTGGCAGTTTGTTTTCCGAGCCCCAGCGACCAGCGCAGCCCACTGTAACGCTCCGGTGCTCTGGCCAGGTGTCAGGTGTCTTTAATAACCCGCCGGACGGAGGACGTTAAGGAAGAATAGGAGGACTATACCCTCACAAATAAACAGCCACACAAGTGCAAGATCACACTTCTTCTTATTATCTCAGGGCCATCGTCAATAGAAAGTGTGTGTGCATTCTTGTTGATGATTCACTTGTCAATGTTGTCTCCCTTTATCTCTCTGTCTCTCTCACTCTACCTCCCTTGCGTTCATGATATGGCTACAGTCAGTCACCTCCTCCTCCTCCTCCTCCTCCTCCTCCTCCTCCTCCTCCTCCTCCTCCTCCTCCTCCTCCTCCTCCTCCTCCTCCTCCTCCTCCTCCTCCCGTCTAAAGATCTCTACGTCTCCTGTCCTGCTCCTCCGCCCCCCCTCTCCTCCCTCTCTTTCTCCCCCTGCCAGAGACACTCAGCACCAATAAAGGAGCAGATTTATTAATATGGGGCCATTGTGGCTGCTGCCTGAAGGGCTGTGCGTTTGTGTGCGTAAGTGAGCGAACGAGCGCGAGTCTGTGCACATGCATGTTTGTGTGTATCATAGATTTTGGGGAGGGGGGGGAAGGAGAGATTTATTTGAGTGAGCAGAGGAGAATTGGAGAGCGGGAAGGGAGCGGAGAGGTGGAAGAGAGAAAGAGACTTAAAGGAGAATGCAGAAAGAGAGAGATTTATGTAGAGTGAGGATGGAGCATAATAAAAAGAAAGTCAAGGGCCTGGAAATAAGTGAGCAATGCAGAGTGGAGTGTCTAAAATGCAAAATATTCACAGTGCATGGCGGGTGCAGACGACTTCATTTTAGCATAGGATATGAACAACAAGTGGTAACATTTAAAGGGGAAGCTGAACCTTTTTACAAATCAATATAACTTCACTAGGGATAGTTTTGATTAAAGTCTTCTGTTGTTCTTACAATGCTCTGTCTAGTCTGAGATAATAACTGACGATGTCATAGTGATGTCATCTTGGCTTGGAGAGCAGATATCTATGATTTAAAAGTCAGCATTCAAAATGGGAGTTTGATTTAATGTCACATTGGATTTATAGAGCGATTGAGAACATCAGCTCAATAGAACAAATGTTTACGGAGGTAATAATTCAAGCAAGAAGCAGTGTCATTTTCTCATAGACTTCTATACAACCAGACTTCTTTTTTTACAACCATCAAATATTAGAGTAAGTCCATGTTTAAGGTACGTCTGCATTGGCTTCACGTTTCTGACTTGTAGAGTTGCTGCTAGTACAGAGAGGGGAAAAGACCGTTTGGATTGGTACCAGTAGATACCTAACATTTAAAAAAGTGGTGACGTGCCATCCCTACCTTTTTAGATTTCTCCAACAGTGTTCCCCTTGCAAAGCTAAAATATTGGATGACAAACCAATGGCAGTATTATCAATACTTTCATCAGTCATTATTGTTTAGGTGCTAGAAAAGAGATCTCATGATACAAACAATGTATTGCTGCTTTAGCAAACTTATTCATTTCTACTTATTATTAATATGAGTTTCAGTTCATAGAGAGATAATTAGTTGGACCATACAGGTCAACGTATGTCTGTTGATTTCTGTCAAAACTAAGCTGAATTAGTAGTCTGTGTATGTATTATTTCTTGATGCTGAGTAATTTGTTTTTATATGCAGATTCCCTTGGTAGTATTTGTTTTTGTTTGGGCAGGTGATGCTAGCTGTGTTTAGATTCAGATTCCTTTGTCTGCATTAGAGTATGTACATTAACCTTTGGCTATGTGTGTTGTGTTGTCTCACAGGTGGTGCTTAAACATCACCGTCTCTCTGCTCCATCCTCGCTTCCTCTCTGATTCTGTTAGTGTGTGTGTGTGTGTAGGCTAATCCAGTTAGCAGCTGCTCGGGGAAACTTCAGCCTCGCTCCTCAAAAGCTCGTTAGTCAAGCTTTAATTGTTGCTCCCTCGCTTTGCATATCGCCATGACGCTAATTTATGCCCGTTGTCGCGGTTACCGTCGCCACGGTGGTGGATGTCTCAGAGGAAGCAGTGAGTGGCGGGAAGCAAAAGGCTTGTGCACGAGTCTGTGGAAGATGTTTGTGTGACTGCCTGTCTGCTGCGGTTGCCTCAGAGAGAGAGAGAGAGAGTGTGTGTGTGTGTGTGTGTGTGTGTGTGTGTGTGTGTGTGTGTGTGTGTGTGTGTGTGTGTGTGTGTGTGTGTGTGTGTGTGTGTGTGTGTGTGTGTGTGTGTGTGTGTGTGTGTGTGTGTGTGTGTGTGTGTTGTGTGTGTGTGTGTGTGTGTGTGTGTGTGTGTGTGTGTTGTGATGTGTGTGTGTGTGTGTGTGTGTGTGTGTGTGTGTGTGTGTGTGTGTGTGTGTGTGTGTGTGTGTGTGTGTGGTGAGACGGATGTGGCGTGTTGCACAAGTGTGTGTGCAGCTGTGTGAAGCTAGCAGCACGGGGGCGGGTCTCTGGGGTTATCTGAGTGATGATTGGACGAGAATGGATTGACAGATGTTGGGCTCATAGGATGGCTTCTGGTGTCATCCTGATAAATTAGAGTGGGATGTTTGACTGTTTGTGCGTGTGTGTGGAAGTAAGCACATGTGTTTGCTCGTGTGTGGAAGACCAGGGTGTCGCACACAGACTACAGTGCACGAAGGAGCCGGTGCTAATAGCCCTGTGAGTCACGACATCATCCCCCCCACACACACACACACACACACACACACGCGCGCACGCACACACACACACACACACACACACAACAAATAAACAGGCGTTGAAAAACACCCACAGGCATGCACTCTTTTCCACCTTCTCCACCCCTCTCTTTCCAGAGGTAAAGCCTCTCTCATCATCCTCTCTGTCCTGTTTGTTATCCCTTTCTTCATCATAGGAGAACCCTGACCTCCACAAGGTCTCAGGGGTGGCAAACACACACACACACACACATTACATTACATTGCATTTAGCTGACGCTTTTATCCAAAGCGACTTACAATAAGTACATTCGACCAGGAAGACACAACCTTGAAGAAAACAGAATCATATAAGTACATCAGGTTTCATAGAGCCAAACATTTCAAGTGCTACTCAACTGGCTTTAGGTAAGCCAGTCCTTTATTAGTATATAAGTGCTTTGTCAATAGTTCTATCGCTCGAAGTGGAGTCGAAAGAGATGAGTTTTCAGTTTGCGCCGGAAGATGTGCAAGCTATCTGCCGTCCTGATGTCAATGGGGAGCTCATTCCACCATCTTGGAGCCAGGATAGCAAACCCACGTTTTTGGTTCCCCCTCGCAAGCGAGGGTGCAGCGAGTCGTTTGGCTGATGCAGAGCGTAGTGCACACGCTGGGGTGTACGGTTTAACCATGTCCTGGATGTACGAAGGGCCAGATCCATTCGCAGCATGGTAAGCAAGTACCAGTGTCTTGAAGTGGATTCTAGCAGTTACCGGAAGCCAGTGAAGGGAGCGGAGGAGCGGAGTGGTGTGGGAAAATGTAGGTAGGTTGAAGACCAGACGAGCCGCTGCATTCTGGGTGAGCTGCAGAGGTCGGATGGCACATGCAGGTAGACCAGCCAGGAGGGAGTTGCAGTAGTCTAGGCGTGAGATGACGAGAGCCTGGACCAGAACCTGAGTCGCTTTCTGAGTCAGCTGGGGACGTATCTTCCTGATGTTGTAAAGCGTGTATCTGCAGCAACGGGTTGTAGCAGCGATGTTTGCAGTGAAGGACAGGTTGTTATCTAGGGTCACACCCAGATTCCTTGCAGTCTGAGTCGGGGAAACAACTGAGGTGCCGATGTTGATTGTTAGGTCAAGAGTGGGACAATCTTTTCCCGGAAGGAAGAGCAGCTCAGTCTAGTCAAGGTTGAGCTTGAGGTGATGAGCAGACATCCACTGAGAGATGTCAGCTAGACAAGCAGAGATGCGTGCGACGACCTGGGTCTCTGAGCGGGGAAAGGACAGAATTAATTGGGTATCGTCAGCGTAGCAGTGGTATGAAAAACCATGCGGGCTAATGACTGATCCGAGCGAGTTTGTGTACAGGGAGAAGAGGAGGGGACCAAGAACAGAGCCCTGAGGGACCCCTGTAGTTAATTGACAAG